TGTTGACGAGCAAATGTGTTCGACAAAAATGGCGCACCATTTACGCCAGTACATGCCGAACAAGCCCCATAAATGGGGAATAAAGTTGTTTGTACTGTGCGATACCACGGGATATTCGTACCAATTCGAGATATATAATGGTGCTGGAGATAACATCATCGTGCCAGGAACACCAGACCTCGGAGCTACCAGCAACGTTGTTATTAGGTTGTCACAAACAATTCCAAATTTCAAAAACCATATCGTTTACTGTGACAATTTTTACACATCGTTGCCCCTTTTAGTTTATTTACGAGCTCGTGGAATCTTTGGACTGGGGACAATACGTGCAAATAGAATTCCCAATTGTAAACTTCCGCTGGATGCAGATAGAGAAATCAAAAACGCCGAACGGGGTTACGCAGTGGAGTATATGGGTTGTGCATATGGTGTGGACCTTACCACTGTCCTCTGGAAAGATACCAAAAACGTAAAACTTTGTTCAACTTACGTTGGGGTCCAACCATTTCAGAAATTGAATCCAGACAAACAGATAGCAAAAACGACTCGTTACGACAAAAGAAAGAAAGAATACATTGATGTCGACTACCCCCAAATAATTCGTGAGTACAATTCGCATATGGGAGGAGTTGACCTCATGGACTCGCATATGGGACGAAGTGGACTGCGCATTAAAACAATGGATGCAATGACACGCATCTTTTACCATTTTCTGGATATGGCTGTCACAAATGCGTTCATATTGTATCGCAGATCACATAATGAGGATGCTGAGAAAACAGATTTCAAAGAAGAAGGAACTTCAAAAGAAAAAAACATGAGACTATTCCAATTTCGTGTGAAAATTGCTCAAGGTCTGTGCTCTTCTGTTCAGAAAAGACCCATTGGTCGACCTTCAAACTCACCGCTCACTACTAATAGTACTAATACTGGCAACAAGGCAGCGCATCCTGTTGAAGATGTACGTTACGATGGAGTTGATCATGTTCCTGAATGGATTCCAGGTCGTAAAAAGTCCTGCAAATACTGCAAGAAATCGGAAACACACACTTTCTGCCCGAAATGTCAACTGCATTTATGTTATTCCGGTGCCAAGAATTGTTGGAAAGACTACCACGTCCGTCGTTAATATATTTCATTTTTTAGTATTTACCTGTTAATTTTTTTTATCAAGTTTATATCAATAAAAAATTAAATGTTTTTATAAGCAACAAAAAAGGACTAATTCATTTTCCCCTATAGAACGATATACCGGCCGTATGGCCGGCATTCTTCTTTTTCACTTTGTGACTGACTCAATAACGATATCGAAAAATGGACTTTCTATTCGTGTTTCATTTACCAAAATTACCCCGAAACCAAAATTTTCAGAAAGTTTAATCCCCTATTTCTATTTTGCCGATTAAAGGGTTAAAGAAGAGATTAGGACTTCAAGCACTAAGTTTTTACTACCAGATAAGAGAGAAAAAAAAGACTGGATGACTGCAGAAATCCTTGACATGATGGAAGAGAGACGGATATATAAAACTAAAGATACTGCCGTGAATACCGTGAAACCCATAGATGAATAAGAGCTGAGATAAGAAAAACTAAAAAGAAATGGTTCTCGGAGAGATGCGAAGAAATCGAACAGTGCGAAAAGGTATACGACTATTACAATATACATAAGAAGATAAAGGAACTCACAACAAAGAAAAGCTACAATATTTTATGGAAATCTACAACTAGACATCAACAAAATAGTTAGAATCTGGGAAACTTATGTGGAATAACTGTTTAGTTATGACCGTCCTAGTGGGTGTACACTGAGAAACGATGATGCTGGCCCTTCTATTCTAAAATCAGAAGTGGAAAATGTTATAAAGGGTCTCAAAAATAACAAAAGACCAGGCAACGATAACGTATACGGGGGAGTATTGAAAATGCTGTGCGAAACAAACAGTCAATTTCTAGACTCACTCGTCAGACTCTTTAACAATATTTATAACAGCGGGGAGTTTCCTGAAGACTGACTAGAGTCAACTTTTGTTGCCATACCAAAAAAACCGAAAGCAAAGTCTTGTGATCAATATCGGATGATAAGTCTAATTAACCACATTTCGAAGGCATACATCAAGGTTATTTACAACAGAATAAGTAAAAAATGCGAGGATAACATTGGAGAATTCGCAGTTTGGGTTTCCGAATTCTCTTGGGACAAGAGAAGCACTTTTTAGTCTACAGGTACTCATCCAGCGCTGCCGAGATATGAACAAAGACGTGTAAATATGCTTTATAGACGAAAAATCACGAAAAGATAATTGAAGTTCTCCATAAGATCGGAGTCGACTACAGAGACATTCGAACAATAGCAAGTCTCTATTAGGGTCAAACAGCTAAAGTGAAAGTGAAATAAAATTGAGATCAAGAAAGGGGTACGACAGGGCTGTATCTTGTCTCCAATTCTCTTTAATACATACCCAGAAGAAGTATTTAAGACAGCGCTGGAGGAAAGCACAGAAGGCAAAAAGATAAATGGAGAAATAATTAATAATATAAGGTATGCTGATGATACTGTGATTCTAGCAAGTACCATGGAGGAACTGAGTTGCGTAATGAGTAAAATACAAAAAACAAGTGCACAATACGGACTCAGACTAAATATCACAAAAACCAAATGGATGTTAGTAAGCAAAACCCAACAACCACCACAGCAACTGATATTAGACAATGAAAGAATTAAACACGTGGATTCGTACATCTACTTGGGAACAACAGTTAACTCAAATTGGGATCAAGCGAAGGAAATACGTATAAGAGTAGAAAAGGCAAGCGCATCGTTCACTAGCATAAAGCAAAGTTTCATCTCTAAAAGCCCCACCCTATCTCTCAAAATTCGACTTCTGAAATGTTATGTATTCCCGGTTTTGTTATATGGAATGGAGGCGTAGACAATGACCGCAACATTGATGAAAAAAGTAGAGGCCTTCGAAATGTGGGCTTATCGACGTATATTACGTATATCCTGGACTGAGCACGTAACTAACGAAGAGGTACTACGCCGGATAGGTAAAGAGAGAGAGAGAGGTAGGAATAAGTATAAAGAAAAGAAAGTTGGAATACTTGGGTCACGTTATGAGACATAATAAATATCGAGTACTACAGCTGATCGTTCAAGGGAAAATAGACAGCAGAAGGGGTCCAGAGAGAAGAAGACACTCGTGGCTCCAAAACTTGCGGCAATGGTTCGTATTGTCATCTGCTGAACTATTCAGATCTGCCGTAAACAAAGTCAGAATAGCCATGTTGATTGCCAACATTCGGAACGGACAAGGCGCATGAAGAAGAAGAAGAAGAATCACATCTCAGAAAACTAAAACAAAAGTCGTCGGCAAAGAACCAACCAGATGTAAAATAGAAATTGATGGCATCAGTATTGAGCAAGTAATGGAAATAAAATACATGGGAATTACACTGTCCGCTATTAAGACGCAGACAAAGAAGTGAGAGATCAGGTACAAAAAGCAAATAGACTGGCAGGATGCCTTAATAACACTATATGGTAAAACATACATATTAATACTGAGATTAAATCAAGAATCTATTAAGCCAGTGTAAGACTAATAATGACATATGCCTCAGAAACAAGACCCGACACAGCCACAACGCAAAGACTACTGGTTAAAACAGAGATGAGAGTGCTCAAAAGAATTACAGGAAATGCGCTGACAGATCATAAGTGAAGACATTAGAAGAAAATGTAATGTACAGTGTATAAAATAATAGACACAAAATAGAAACAAAGAATGGAGTAACCACATAAGCAGAATAAAGGAGACCCGTGTCGTCAAAATAGCAAGAGATAAGTCACCAATCGACAGAATAAGTATCGGATGACTGCGCACAAGATAAAGTGAGAATCTTCCCTAGAGGTATTAATCCTCCAATCAATAAGCAGAATTGTTTGTAAAGAGGAAGAAGATTTTTTTTTAAAACTAAAATTTTTTAAAATCTTACAAAACAAAAACTAGACCATATAAAATTTGCCAATTTTTTCACAGAAGAGCAACTGAGAAAAACGTATTAAATAAAAAATAATTTTTAGTTATGACAAAGTTTAGAAGTTTAGTTTATTTATGAGGTTCGAATCATTTTATAGGGTCCCTTTGTCCGCTTCTTGTCGATCGACGATGATAAATATAATAAAAAGTTGAAGTTGTGGAGAAAAATGTTGGTTTTATTGATAGCTACTACTAATTATACTATATGATGTTAGTTAGGTAACTATGTATAATAGACTGCGCTCACATGAGCTCAAATGCCCAATTTATAATCTCACAAATAATTCATACCTCAGCACAGAGGTTATTGCTTCTATCATACTAACAAACTTTGAACTATGAGCTTACAATACAATATAATCTAGGCCGTAATTGCAATACTAAGGAAGTTCAATTGGAAAATATATTATTCGACAATTTATTAACAGGTGAATAAACTTTAATTATTAAAATATTACTCGATATAGTTTTACAATGACTCAATTATACGCGGTGAAACTATAAAAAATTAAGAAGTTAAGAATAATGTGAGATTACAAACTAAGGGATTAATTTGTGATTGAAAAGTTATCGAAAAAAAAACTAATTGAATTAAAGCTAGTTAAAAGTTAATATTTTATATTGTTATGTTATAGCTTTTGAATATTAGACCTTAGTATTGGAAATCGGGTAACGTTTATTTGTTTACCAGGTTTATGGAAACCGACTAAATTTGCAGCAAAATGCAAATACTGCATATAAAAGTTACGTTCTTCACCATTAAAAAGCATTTTGATTTTTCTCCGTAGGACACTTTGATCAAAAGATATTAAATTTTTACCGTCGAGTTGATACAAATTTTATTTAAAAAATCGCCGGTCGCTTCAAACGTTTTTTCTGAGAGAACAGTATATTCTACAGAAAAAATGCTAGACTTTTTGATTCAAAATTATCTCAGCTACATTTCTTAAGCCAATTTACCTTTTTCTGCTGTCAACTGCTTTTCTGGAAGTCGTAAAGTCGCAGCTTGTATCACTGCTGGTTCACTGCGACCTTTAGCATTAAAAGAGAATAATACTGCATGGTACTGTAGCCCAGCTGCTAATCCTGTTACCGAAAAACGTGCTACAGGAGACGTTAAGTTATTTTTTAACTCCTGACTTTGACTTTCTCGAACCTAAAAATTAAAAATAATTTCAATAACTGATATATATAATATATATATAATATATATATATATATATATACATATAATTATATTGATATATATTGATATATATATATATATATATATATATATATATATATATATATATATATATATATTTTTTTTAAATAATTTGAACTAATGTTCTGTGGACTTCATGACACCGAAGAACAGGTTGTGAATGGATACTGTGCAACACATACAATTATTGAAAGTAAAGAAGTCATCATCAATCATAAACAAGTCAGTAACTTATGAAATGCTATTACTGATCGTAAGAAGTAGAGGGAAACTTGTGAGGAAAAAGCTTTGTTTACAAAAAATAATTTTATCAAGATACACTTGATACACAATACACTACATATACAGTGTGGTCCTTAAGTAATTGTACAAAAAGAAACCGTGGATTCTACACGTTAAAATATTGCGATTTAAGTCAAGTTGCTTTAATAAAAATGTTAATATTAAGAAAGATACAGGGTGTTAAAGTGAAAATTTAAAATTTTATTTTTCGCTATAACTTTCATGTTTGACAACATTTATGTATAAAAATTTACAACTGGGTACTATTAAATATCAGAAATTATAATTTAATGTATACTTTGATGTATATGATAGAGGGCGCCACCTATGCCACATATGTGGCATACATTTGCACGTAACTTTTTTGCTCTTTAAGTTACCGGTATTTTTAATAAAAAATATTAAAGATACATTATTTTAACAAAAAAAGGTATACTTGTTAATATCTTTAAAACCTAACAGTTTTCGAGATAATCGCATTTTAGAAATCAACTACATAATTCTGATTTAACGCAATTACTCCAGACAACGAAAGAAAATTAAAAAAAAACATCAATACTTCTAAAATTTTGTATAAAAATACCTTTAATAAAGTTAATAGTTAATGAATTATTAAACAAAACAAATATATCAGCAGGATAAAATAATAGGATTTGATAAATAACTGAAGAATTGGATTTTGCATAAAACATTTTACGTTTTGTATTAAATTAAAGTCATAATCAAAACATTTTATGTACAAACCAAATTAAGAAATAGTTAAAGTAAATAACATTAAACTTTTTGTCAAAGTAAGTGTTCAATATGTCCACCATTTTCTTTAATTCATTTGTCAATACATTCCATAAAATATCGTCTCATATTAAATAGCGTCATTGGTTCTAAAGAATCTGTTGCAGTATTTATTATAAGTGTTATAAGTATAATAATAAGTAATTTTTTGAAATGTCAATGAATTAAATCATTATATTAATATCTTACTACAAGAATATGAATACGATGAACAATCCAACGTTCAGGAAAGTTGTATTTAAATACTATCTCACTCCACTTTCTCTGTAATGTAATGGTGTACCATCTTGTAGAAACCACATATTTCGCCTTAAATTTGATGACAATTCTTACAATAAATCAATAAAATTATTTTATAAAAAATGTAAATAAATCTAGACATTCGAATTCCAAGGTAATTCGCATATCCGTAAAAAATAATTATCAATGGTTCCAAACCATAGGACATGCATTTTAAATATGAATTTTGAATATTTTACGAATATGCGAATTACCTTTCAATTTAAATATTGAGATTTATTTACATTTTTTATAAAATGATTGTATTGATTTATTGGAAGAATTGTCATCAAACTTAAGGCAAAATATGTGGTTTCTACAATATGGTACACCATTACATTACAGAGAAAGCGGAGTGAGACAGTATTTAAATACACTTTCCTGAAGGTTGGATTGTTCGTGGTAGTCATATTCTTGTAGTGAGGTAATAATATAATTATTTAATTAATAAAAATTTCAAAAAAATTACTTAATAACATACTTAAAACAACTGTTCAATTAGGAAGAAGAAGGCATTCATGGTTGAAAAACTTGAGAGAATGGTACAATTGCACCAATTACCAACTGTTTAGATCTGCAGCATCAAAAATACGCATAGCTTTGATGATAGCCAAACTTCGGAACGAAGACGGCACTTGAAGAAGAAGAAAACAACTGTAATAAATACTGTAGCAGTTTTTTTAGAACCAATGATGCTATTTAATATGACACGATATTATATGGAATGTATTGACAAATGAATTAAAGAAAATGGTGAACATATCGAACACTTACTTTGACAAAAAGTTAATGTTATTTAGTTTAACTATTTTTTAATTTGGGTTGTAAATAAAATGTTTTGATTATGACTTTAATTTAATACAAAACGTAAAATATTCGAAGTAAAATCCAATTATTCTGTTATTTTATCAAATCCTATTATTAATTATCCTGCTGATATATTTATTTTATTTAATATTTCGTTAACTATTGACTTTATTAAAGGTATTTTATAACAAAATTCAGAAGTATTGATGTTTTTATCTATTTTTTTCATTGCCTGGAGTAATTGCGTTAAATCAGAATTATGCAGTTGATTTGTAAAATGCGATTATCTCGAAAACTGTTGAGTTTTGAAGTTATCAACAAGTATACCTTTTTTTTTGTTGAAATAATGTATCTTTAATATTTTTTATCAAAAATACCGGTAACTTGAAGAACAAAAAAGTTAAGTTCAAATTTATGCCACGTATGTGGCATATGTGGCGCCCTCTATTAGCTATTTTAAAGTATGCATCAAATTATAATTTCTGATATTAAATAGTACTTAGCTGTAAATTTTTGTACATAAATGTTTACAAACATGAAAGTTATAGCGAAAAATAAAATTTTAAATTTCCAATTTAACACCCTGTATCTTTTTTAATATCAACATTTTATTAAATCAAGTTGGCTTAAATCGTAATATTTTAAAGTATAGAATCTGCGGTTTCTTTTTGTACAATTACTTAAGGACCACCCTGTATGTCCTAAATATATGTATGTACAGCGTTAACAGACCTTCTAGGCCGATTGCTGGATGGGTAATTTTCATCGTTTTCTATTCTTAGCTAACAGCTTCCAATCTCTGATTTCCATCTCTCTGACATCTTCCATCACTACATCTCTCCATTTTTTCTTGATCTTCCTCTCTTTTTTTGCCCTCAGGTACTTTCTAAGCAATATTCTTGACTAGTCTATTACCTTGCATTCTTTCTAGATGACCGAGCCATTCTAGTCTACGTTTTTTCACCACTTTTGTTATTGTAGGGTTAGCATACAAATGATACACTTCTACATTAGTTCGTCTTCTTCATTCTTCCTCTACTACTTCTCCGCCAAATATTCTGCGAAGTATCTTTCCCATGCTTCCAATGTGTTCTGTATGGTTTTGTTCATAGTCCATGTCTCTGTAGCGTATAGAATTGCAGGTCTAATTATAGTTTTGTATATTTTTATTATTGTATTACGAGATATATCTTTGGCCTTAATTATTTTGCTCATGGCTTCAGCACACCTATTGCTCTTGGTTAGTCTCAGATTGATTTCAGTTTCTTTTTTACATGTCTGATCAATAAGAATACCTAAGTACATATATTTATCTACCTTCTCGAATTCTACAACTGATCCATCCTCCACCTCCAATTTAAAGAATCCCCTGGTGTTTACTCCTTTTTGCTCGAGATCTCCATGTACTTCGATTTATTAATATTTACTTTCAGTCCCATTTTAGACCTTTCCCGAATCAGTTTTTTGTTATATTTGATAGTTCTTTTCCATTTCTTGCAATGAGAACCACATCATCAGCGTATGCTAAGCATTGGTGCTTCTTGTATAAAATAGTTCTGGACCTATTTATCCCGCTAACCCTTACAAATTTTTCTAGCACTATATTGAATAGCAATGAAGACAACGGGTTTCCTTGGCGAACACCTTTTTTCACTTCGAATTCTTCTGAGACTGTACCGTTGCATCTCAAAGAACAAATGGTTTATCTAATTGTCATTTTTACCAATCCTATTATTTTTTCTGGCACTTAAAATTCTTTTAGTGTTTCTATTAACCTGTTTCTGTCTATTGTATCGTAAACAGCTTTGTAATCAATGAAAAGTGCTTGTGCTGAAATGGCGTATTTATAACAATTGATCAGGATTTGTTTTAGCATCAAAATTTGATTGTTTGTTGATTTTCCTTTCCAAAATCCTCCCTGGTATTCTCCTAGATTCTTCTCTCTCTCTCTCTCTCTCTCTCTATATATATATATATATATATATATATATATATATATATATATATATTATTGTGATATTTAAAGTCTTAGTGCGCCAAGCCATTAATTAGCTAATTAATTAATTAATTAATTAAAATTATTTAAATGATATGACTATGATTCTATCACACTTTATAATTCTCTTATCTCAGGGTTCTATTCGTGCTTCAATATCTATGCTATTACATGTGAAAGGTAAGGTCCAAAAAAAACCGGAATAATAAAAAACATATAGGATCTAACATTATATATTGAAATAAAATAATGAAATAAAATTCACACTCAAAAATTTTCAATAAACAAAATCTCATATAATGATTCTCAAAATTTTGTTCTACGTACGTGAACCTTAAAATTAATGGTACAAACAATATTAGTTGAAATCTCAAAATCCCAAATATTATTCTAAATCTCCTAATCAAAATATTTATATCCTTTCTAAATTAAGTGTAAAAATTGTGTTATCAATAAAAGAAAAACTGCAGAAAACAAAACTATCTCTCTCTGATGATAAGTGGTCGAAATCATTGTTCCTTGTAGACTATATTATCTACTCCCAGCCGCTCCCTAGGTAATCAGCAACAAATTATTGCAAGTTTATCGTCCTTAATGATCTCCTTCAAATGCACGAATCGTTCAAATTATATTAGCTTCTTCTTCTCTCAATAAACTGAATCTCTCGTTGGCCTGAACAGTGACTCTTGGAATATAAGTAGAAAATATAACTTACAAACTTTTACTGGATCAGCTTCTATCAGATACACTAACTACACGAAAACTCACAAACTTTCGCTGCTACTGCTTCCTACCTCTGGGAAACTACCCGAGAACAACGGCCGTTCGCCTTTTACCCTTGGACACCAACTGACTATAAATTTTTCTTCCATAAACTAACTAACGTCTCATTCTCAAACCAAACCTCCTACCTTTTCCAATCTCATCCAATCAAAACGCGTCATACATCTCAAATTTCTTCATTTCGATAACACACAAATTTTTACCTACAATTATAAAATTTCCTAAAATTTATTTACAAATAATATTTTTCTACAATTCTTAAGAACTAACGAAAACATATCTTTTTACATTCTATTCTATTGTCCTAATCACTGCACTAATGTATTTGGAAAACCGGTTTAATTGTCTTAAGTTCGCTCACGTCACTCAAATATATTTTAACAAAGAAAATAATTTATGCATAGCTTACGTTTTGTTCAATATAGGTAATCCAAAGATAAAAGGACTTTCATTCTTCGAAATGTTTGTCGTTTATTAATTCGACTTATCTGAATTATTTTAATTATTTGAACTTTGAAATATTTTTAAACAAACCGATATTTTCTTGATTTTACATATCATAACAATATATATATACATATATATATATATATATATATATATATATATATATTATATATATATATATATATATATTATATATATATATATTTCTAATTATTTTTTAATTAGTATGGCGAGTACTTTATAACTTACCTCTAGTAAGGATATTCGTCTATAGTTTGCGCATTCAGTTCTACCTCCCTTTTTGTGTATAGGGATTATGATCGACTTATTCCATTCTTGAGACATTTCTTCGGCATCCTATACTTCTAGTATTAGCTCACCAAGTTTGTTTATCAAGTCACTTCGTCATTTAGCATCTTTTCGAAATATTCTTTCCATTTTTCACATATTTGCTTTGTCCACTATCAGGTTTCCTTGCTTATCTTTTACATTTATCGTTCTTTCCTGGTACCCAGTTTTAATGTATTTTACTTCTTTACAAAAAAAGTTTATTTATGTTGCTTGTAATTTTCTTCAATGAGCTTAATTTTATGATCCATATACTTTCGTTTCCGCTCCCTTAGGATCCTCTTTACTTTTTTCGTTGTTCGGCATACCTTTCTAGCTCGTCTTGTTTTTGCGATCGTAAACTTTTTAATCTTAAATCTGATCTCTTTTTTAACTTTGTTTTGCATTCGTCATTGAACCAGTGGTTTTTTCTAAATCTTTTTGTTCTTGATATGTTCTTCGACGTAGCTTCCTTTATAGTGTTTGTCATTTTTAAAAACTTTTGTTGTATGTTACCCACAGTAGTACTATCTTGTTTGGCGTAGATTTCTTGTATATGCTTTTGATAATCCTGCGCTACTTCAAACTTTCGTAATGTTTCAAAGTTTAATTTACGTTGCACTTTCTTTTTCCGTTTATGCTTTTTAATTATTGCTTCTCTCACATTAATTTTAACCAAAAAATGATCTGACTACGTCAGCTCCTCTGCACGTTTTCAAATTTGTTATTAAATTGGCAAACTTCTCTTGTATCAAGATGAGGCCTAAATATAATTTCCAAAAATTGGAAACCTAATTACAAGCCACTAACTAGTCAGACCAGTCTAAGGAGAATCAAGGTAAAACTAATAATCTTTTATTTATTGCTACCGCTATGTTTCTACGTTTTCCAAATTCTAAAGATTTTGATCTTAATAGTTGTCCTAGTAGGTATGTTTTTAATGATAAAGATTTGATAGTAGACTTTGATCCAGACAAAAATTTTAAATTTTGTACAGCTGATAAGAGCACCTGATTGGCCACAGCAGTTGGATTTAATTAATTACAATATTGAGACTGTCACACTTTAACCTACATTAGCTGGTCAAATTTACCTCTTAAATCTAATAGATAACAAAAAAACTCATTGTCTTCAAGTCAGAGATGTAGTGCATTTAAGGCCTCCCTTTTCACATTTAATGTTTGTTTCGTCCTTCTTAGGGTACTTTTTAAGTGTTTTCTGTGTGTCCCGAAGTGTCCTTAATTGTTTTAATTTTATTAATTTTATATACTGGACTTTACAATCATTTGCCATATTGTAAGTCAATTCAACTTTATCGAAGAAATTTGATAATTATAAGTTGAAAGAATTGCACACCCACACAACTGTACATCTAATTTTATCCATTGTCATACAACTGTCACCTTCATAAAATCTCAATAAATAACACACATTTCATAAATATTTCTCTTGAATAAATATAAATAACTTTTAAATAATTCAATAATATTGAACGTCACTCTCATCTAACCAACAATCACATTACACCTATCTCTTCTTCATTGGATAAAATCTATATTCTCAAGAACTTGCCGGTTAATTGTCAAACAATTACAATAGCAAAAACTAAAGTTTGTCCATTCAACAATACAGGATAGTTTGAACAATGTTCTTCCAACAATTGATTAATAGAGTACCGGCATGTAAGTAATGTTTTATTTATTTACTAATTGATTACAATTTAATAGACTATTTTATACCAACTTGTGGGCCTTACCTTCATGGCTTAAACAGTTTATTTATTTTGAAAAACCACAGACATGTAATATTGGCATAATTACTGTAATCTATGTCATTTATCTTTGTTTATCTTTATAAGACAATACCCTAATATGGGTTTTATTATTTTAGCATTTAATTAACTTTGTATTGACAGACCTGAAGATGCTTTGCATATTGTAGAAAGCGAAACCGGTCGTCTAGATAGTTAAATTAAACTAATTGTGAGTAAGTCTTCTTTATTATTTCCTTGACCTATTTGAAATGGACTCACACAATAAACACATTCATGATTTATCACTCTATTTGCGTAATAGCTTTTGTTTATATTTATAATATGTTGCACTAAGTTTCCTGGTAGTCGATGTAAAAAATCCATCTTAATTAGCCATTAAAATCAGTTTAAATTTAAAACACCTTTGTCTCAACAACGTACTGATGTATAAACAAACAAAATAATATTTATGTACTTACTTCTAATAAAAATGATTGAGGAAGACCACCGTTGAATCCTTCTGAACATCGAATATTAAACGACGTCATTGAGATATTGAGGAGAGTACAATTATGAACTTGATCTGGACGACCTGAAACAAAAAAGATATTTTAAGGAAAACAATCTTTAAAGAGGTTCGGAAACTTTTTATTGTGGCATGTTTAATATTATTTTGTATGCGTTTAAAACACAATTGATTGTAATTTTTTAACACTTTACATTTGTCTTCACGTTTCGATTTATTATCCGCAAATCGGTATTAAAAAATTGTTTAAATAAAAATTGTCAATGACTTAATCTCAAAATGTTTACAAATTGACACTGGGTGGTAAGATCAATTTGACCATGGACTTACTTGCGCTTGCTACATTCTCTTGATTTGTTTGCTATCCACTTTAATTTATTTAACCCTCCGTCGGTCGCATGTGTATCAAAATGATACAAGCTCGCCAATTTTCAGTGCTATTATTGAACCCTAAAGTAAGGAGAACTTACCTTCATAGTACGTTCCTAGACCGGTTTAGTCTACCGCTTAGTCGTATTTGTAACCTCCTAGTAATTAAGCGTGTTTACATACAATCGTATTGTATCATATGAATGCATTGCGACATAACGTGTAAGTGTTGTTTTACTTTGGTAGTATTTTAGACTATTTTCGGCCTACTTATTATAGGTGAGTGTTTCGATATCTTCGAAATGTATGTTAGAAAAGGACGAAAATAAAGATGCCCCTAACCAATGGAAGATTTCAAGGATGAACCTGACACAGATGCGGAAGATCAGTCAACGGATGAAAGAGTTGGTGATTCTAATACTGAAGATGGAGAGAAAGAGGAAAAACTAGATTTAAATGACAATTTACCTTACTTTGGAAAAGATAACACCACTAGATACTAGATGAAAGAAAAAACCGCACGCGAAGAAGCGACGCACTGAGCCACATAACCTGGTTACACGTCTAAAGAGCACGACTAGCTAAGTTACATACAGAATGTTGGAGTCAGATATTTTCTGATAAAATGCAATCAAATACAATCAAAAGTTCACAAACCAGCTCATTCATCTTAAAGTAAGGGACCGCTTTGATCGACAACGTGATGCAACTGACACGGAAATAACAAAACTCAAGGTCTTCATACGCCTTTTATATCTATCAGGAACGTTGCACGCTAATAAAATAATGTAAGAGGATCTCTGGGATACAGATGAACATGGCGTGGAAATATTTTGACTGATTATGAGCCTCAGAAGGTTCAAGTTTCTTATGAGATGCCTGCGTTTCGATGACCGTATACAAGACCTGAAAGAAAAGCTATTGTTAACATTGTGCAGATTCGTAAACTCTTTGACGATTTTGTTTAGAATTGTAAATATAGCTATTCACTAAGACAGTGTGTGACTATTGACGAAAAACTGGAGGCTTTTAGGGGACTTTGCAGGTTTAAACAATATATCCCTTTAAAGCCATCCAAATACGGAGTAAAAATGTATACTATATGTGATGCAGATATTTTTTATAGTTATAGCCTGGAAATATATGCTGAAAAGCAACCCCAGGGACCCTATAAATAAAGTAATAAACCATCTGATGTCGTTAGAAGATTGGCTCAACCTATTTATGGACCAGGGCGTAATATAACGGCAGATAATTGTTTTGCAGATGTGCAACTTGTTACCATATTAAACAGTAATAGACTGTGGTGTGTTGGCACAGTAGATCTGCTAAATGTAAAAGGGCGACCACCACAGTCAACTATATTTGGTTTTAAACACCACTCCACTATTTTTCCTATGTACCAAAAAATAATCGAAATGTTCTTGTTATATCTTCTCAGCATTACGATGATTCCATAGATCAGACGTCAGGACAAGTTACGATACCAGACATTGTCGTTGTCGACAACTGACTTGGTTTTATTATAATATGTGATCTTATATGGAAGCTTTGCGCTTCCTACAACGTTGCTAGAAACACAAGTCGTTGGCCTATGGTCCTCTTTTTTTCCATGCTGAACGTTGCCGGCATTAATGCCCAAGTGATTTCAATCGGAAATGGACAGGAGTTAGCGTTACCACAAAAAAGCAGTCATGACACAAGGTATACCACATTCTCTTCTTTGTAAAGCGTTAAGCAGATTTAGAACAACGGATGAGCCCGATGAAGAAGCTGGACTAGTGGCTGCAAAAGGTATAGCTCAAACAAAGCGTCATCATGCTTTATGATGCTTTATGTTATATATCACGACCAAGACCAAGTTGACCAAAACCATTTGCAAGAATTGTAAACGATATATTTGTGGCACGCCTACAACTCCAGTGTTTACATCATGTCAATCAAGGTTATAAGAACTAGAAGACTCAAGTGAGACATAAGTGAAAGATCACCACAGCAATGAACTAAAATAAAGATTTGTTTTTGTTTAAAATTTTTATAAGAAAATAATATATTTTAATTTTGCGTCATATAGGAAGTCAACATTTTATTTCTACCAATTTATAATGTAAGAAATCAAATCATTTTATACGAGTACTTAGGTTATATTTCAATGTAAGTTACCGTTTTTGATACTATATAAATGTTTTAGATCCTACTAAAGGAATAAATTATAAAAATTATTATAATAAATATAGTAATTATATTAAATCACTATAATAAATATAAAATAATAAGTAAGTCACGTCTTCGGATTTACATACACAAATAGTTTTTTTTGTTGTCACGATGTATTTACACAAACAAAAAGGGAAACATAATGAATTATTGGATGTATTCTACAACTACGCTTGATCCAAAAACTATTGCTGGGAATAATTTGGAAACGATCTTTGGGACTTGTGGAGACGAGATAAAAGAAAGGTGGAGAAAAAGGTATAGAAGATATAGCCAAGCACTATACAGAGACAAAAACATAGTAAGCTACAGCAAGGCAAATTGTACAAGATAAGCTGGGCATGCATTAAATGCAACTTTCTGGGAAAGGTTCGATGGCAGAAAGTTAGTTAGGCGCCAAAAAAAAAATAATAAAAGGATATAGTAACGAGTAATCTACGTAAGATGGGAGTGAAACAATTATTGCACAAGACTGGCAAGAGTGGAGAAAAATAGTATACGGACCAAGACTCACTTAGAGATATAGTCAAGAAAATAGAGGAAGAAAGATGTATTCGACAGATGTGTCAATAAAATATTGACTTTTGCTACATAAGTCTATTAGATATCTAACCTACTCCGTATATTTCGTTTTGATTCTAAAAACGCTCTTTTGTTGCTAGCTAAACAATTTAATTCTTCTAGCCCTAATTGTACTGTTACTACTTAATAGCAGATGCAAATAATTCCTCTTTACTTGATTCATTTATAAATAAGCTTATCGCTTGTTCTGAGTGGATGTGTCAAATATATTCGGAACATTTATTATAAATCAATTCGAAATATACTACTTTTGGTGGCAGAGGATAACTAACTCAGTTTTAACCAGCAGAATAAAAAGCATAATACAAAATCAATACCGATTAAATTCAGACATATTTTTTTATGAGTTTCATTTAGTGCAATTTTTTAAGTAGGATGAACCGAGAAATATTAATCCAGCAGGCGAACCAAAAACTACGCATATTGAAAATAAATGAGTTTTAATTTTTTTGGGATTGACCAATTCTGGGTCGACTTCGATTTTGTTTTTTTAATATTTACGGTTTTAATGGCATGCAAATATTTTTCTGACTGAGTAAACAATTAGAGTTTCGAACTATTACATTAATAAATTAGTTTGTTAAATATGAACATGTGATCCATAAATAGGTATATAACAAATAAAACAAATAAAGAAAACACTGTTAATCATAATTTAACTACTAACTAATCTAAATTATTTTCTGGAAAAACTTTAATTTAATTCAATGTACCTACAAATAAGTTCTAAAAATGCGGCTGATCCACTGTTTAATATTTCCAATACTGACATACGGATGTGACTCTTGGACAATACGATAGGCGAAAATAAGACAGATAGACGCCACTGAAATGTTACGTTGGAATTCAGTGGACCGACCACAGGACTAATATTTCTTCAATTTTAAATAAGCTTAAGGTCAGCAAACGGCTTTCCAACAAAGACCATTTTCAACAATTCAAATATAAGGAGCTTAAAATCAAAGGTTGCAATCTCCATTTTTTCTTATTTTGAGTTGGGATGCCATCTGTTGCGTTTTTTTATTATCTGTTAGATAAAACTATTTGTAAGAAATAAAATCGGTCTTATCCTTATACAAATCGCAGTACAGGAATATAGCGGAGATGCGCTGTCATGAGTTTTTGCGTTCGGTTAAGAAACCATGTTGGGGTTCTACTACCTAGGACCTCCACATGAAGAGCATTTGGCTGATTGTTGTGCCTCTACAGCGCATCAGAGTGCTATAGGGGGGAAAGGAATAGTCTAGAGCAGGGGTGCTCAAACTTGAACTGCTGGCGATCCACCTCAATATTTTTAGACTACTTACGATCGACTCTGAGAGACTGCAAGTGTGTGTGATGCAGGGTTGTCGTACATACACGATACACCCTACCTACCTAGGTAGGGCGTACCGTAGCATATATAGATATTAGCTTTCTGCACAATATAGGTACATTATTTTAGTCAAGGTTTGGGTTAGGTTTAGTAAGGTTCTTCTCTACAATATCAATGAAAAAACTCATAGTTATTCAAAATTGCGAGTTTATTTGTTGTTACAAAACAAAAGAGTTACATATGGTGTTAAACTTAACTAAGGAGTAGCTTTGGATGTTGAAGCGTGGCACTGCATGTCCTCAGCATACTTTTCATAAGATGGTACGTAACCACTGAGTGCTAGTCGATTGCGATATTTTGACTTAATTATCTTCATTTCAGAAAATGCAGACTCCCACAAGTAAGTTGACCCAAAAAAGGGCGTCAGTTGAAGGGCGATTTGCCTTACATTCAGATATTTATCTTCAGATATAAAACGCCAGAAATTTGTATCAGATAGTGTAGCTTTAAGATGTATATCTGATATAATCTGCACCAACTTATTTTCAACAGAACATGAGTTCATATTAAACTGACTTGCTAT